ACCACCAAGACAAATTCCTTGTATGTTTGACATATTTTGGCAAATAAATGTTTCCTGATTCCTGATTCCTGAAGGACCTCTCACGCTTTGTCAGAACACCTTTTATTACCTGCTCTATGGACTCTCTGCTGACTCCTCACCCACAAGTCTTACCTGGGGGGACGAGTGATAGAGACACAGCATCTCACGGATCGGAGACCAGAGACTTGGGTGTCTCCTCGCTAACAGTAAAACTGCCAGATGTGTCCAGATGTAAGATGAATTCATTCCATCAGGAATGAATAATAAAAACATTCACAAACCCGTAAAGAAGGAATGGAATAAAGGGCTTTGTGGAACAACCGACTTCGCCACGCACGCACACCTTGAGTACGGTGTCCCGCAGCGTGCACACGGAACGCGAACATAAGCATTGAACAGATGATGGACAGTTCTGGTTAGACATGTTTAGTTTACTTCATCAATGCAGGTAAAACACTGTACAACTAACACACAACTATGTAATCAGTCGCAGACAATATGGATGTGGATTAAAAAGGAACTTGTTAAATGACTCCATTGTTTTCCGACTATTGAACAAATAGTTTTTAAAGCCCTCGCAGTACGGACGAGAGACCCTCATAGTAATTAATAGTCAAAAATACTCACAAATGACGAATATTCGCTTAAAAAAACACTCATATTCAAATATCTGGTTGCGGGTCAATAACAGGACAAGTAATACAACCAGACATAACTACTTTTATAGGTCATTTATTTCATTTTAAACATATTTTAAAAGATATTACCTGCACAAAATGACCTAAATAAATAAATGAACTGATGGCAGCAGATCTCTCGCTCGCACACGCGCTCGGTTTCAATGAGCAACAACAGTAAACAAATGCTGAAGGCTCATCATTTTTTCTTCATCAATATTTGAGAATAAAATGATGAGAATTTCGCACAACATGCTCACAAGCCCCGCCCTCCCTCCTCCTCTTCCTCCTCCTCTTCCTCCTCCTCTTAGCGCTCTGCAGTGCTAAACGCCAAACTACGGTGGCCCTGAGGCGCAAAGCACAGCGGCAAATAGGAAAACACCACGAAATTAACTCCTTACGGAAAGGGGAGGGGCTTATAGCAGAGGACGGACCCTTCTGATTGGACAGACGGACTGTCTGTTAACAGCCACACATCCAACTCCTCACGCCAAGGAGTCGGACTCGGGCCCCCGGGCCGCGTCGGCCGTGGCGTCCGGACCGTCTGACCTTCCCACCAGATGTTGTGACGTCATTTGATGGGAAGTCCAACATTCTGGGGGCCGGAGGGTATGAAAGGCTTCAGCTCTCCACAAAGTCTCCACGAAACATCATAGAAAACAAGTCATAAAACTCTGGCTTAAAGTTCCGCGCAGCCTGCAGAGCTTTTACTCGTACTTATTACTTCTTATATTATCAATGACGAATACACGTGTTGTTTAAAGTCTTTTCACATTGGATGGTCAGCATATTTCTGAGAGTGGAACAAAGTCTGGTTTGTTAAAAAAAGTTAAGAAAGTTAATAGTAAATACTATATGTTTTTGATCTTTTCTGGCTGAAATATGTCAGAAGTATTTTTTTTTAAATATACGTATTTTCCTCCTCTTCATTATGACGGAGCCTTTGACAGGTTTACGATGCTCATTCAAACTGAGGAAAATAATTATACAAATGTACAAAAACGTACAAATATTATTATTTTTGGTTAGCAGTATCTCAGTGTCAGATTCCCCCCCCCCCCCCCCCCGCCAACCAGCAGCTTTCTGGGTGGAGACTGCATGTTCTGCTGGTGTCCGCGTGGGTTCTAGTGGGTTCCCAGTATGTACCAACCCGCCCCACTCCGGTCCTGAAACATCTACTGGAGTTTGCTTTCTGTGTGTGAATTTGTAATAAGTACGTTTTCATAAATAATAGAGGGGCACCATCCTGATTTCAGACCAGTAATCAGTTGAGTCTCATAATTAAGTCTCCCTCAAAATAATATTACACACTAATAGTGAACTGTGAAGACTTGAAGTCCTACTCTATGCATCCAGCTGTTAGCACACTACCCAAAGTAATAACCCAAAAACTGCTCCTTGAACTCTAACAGAGTTTATTAACTTCTGACCATAATAATCAGGTCAACTATTTGAGATTAACAACTAACAACCTACAACAAAAGGGAAAAAAGCAAAAGGGTTGAAAAACTTTTGATGTGTTTTATCGAGTTACTCTCATCCGCTATGTCCTTTGTTGAGAGAACCTTGGAATTTGTCCTCCTGTCCTTTTGCAGGCCGGTGTCTTACTCTGAAGAATTGCATCTTGGAGTCTGTTGTTGAACCAGCTTATTTTGAACTGTTCCTACATTTCTTATAAGAGCTTCAGGAACCAAATCGCAGGCTTGGAGGCGTCTTCCTCGTTGCTCATCTACTTCTCTGTTGCTGGAAGGTGGACTCGAGGGATTCTGTAGTTTTGTCTTCACAGCGACGAGGTCTAACTGGTGAAACTGGAGAGTTTCACCAAAAGACGCGTGAACCAACCTCTCCTCTCATCCAGACCTGAAGGCCACAACTACCTTCATAGTGAAGGCCTCAACACACCCGAATCAGTTGTGACCTTTGACAGCCAAACCCTCAGGGCTGATAAGGTTGATTTCATTCGACACCCTCTCAAGAGGAGTGGATTTACTACCTTCAGTGGACCGAACAGTCCTCCCCTCTCGCTCACAAGAGGAGAAGGAAACGTTAAACATTAACTGTGTGCGCCGACACACTGTAGGTGTGTTCAGTTACCCGCACACACCGATCTGCACCGGGAGCAAAGCGTGGCCGTGAGTCCGTCTTCGGTCTGGGGTTCGCAGCAGAGAAGCAGTCGGTGAGTAGAAACAAACTCAAGCTACAGATGTGTGACGTTGTAGAGGAGATGAGTAGAAGCAGAGTTTTATTAATCATCAGATTGTGAAATCCCTGATTTATTGATGATCTATTCTGGTCATTACTTTAGTATTGATATTTAGTATCTGATACCTGCAGGAGACGGTGTAGTTCTACGCTCAACGACAGATGTTCGCAGCACCTTTAATGCATTAGAAATGTTCTGTTCTGAAGGCATTTTATATTGACAGTTAAACATTAACTGGCTGGTGTCTGGTGTGTGCAGGTCCAAGGTCGACTCGCTCAGCGTGGACTTTGGCGCTGTCGCAGGCGGAAGCAAAACAGATCTCACCTGGTAAGTACGACATCTAATCAAATGGATAAAGTCCACATGGTCAGATTGATGAGTGAACTGTTCTTTATTGATCCTCAGGCGTTTGCTGAATGATCAGGTTATCAGATTCACTCCTTGTTACCAAGGTAACAACCTGAACTGAGCCCAAAAGAAGTCCTTCGTTCTCGAAAGGAACTTTTGAATCCACAATGGGAAACAAACCACCAACAGCAGCCTCGTCAGGTGAGTGATGACACGTTCACAGCAGCTGCACCATAAAACTACACCAGCAGGTTCTACAACCGTCGGCCAAACTCTGACCTCTCATACGTCACACCTCACCGAAGCTTTGGCTGCGTTCATAGTTGATGGTTTGAATACATGTTTTTAGTTTGTATCCAGTGCTGAGAAGAAGTTAATAGATGATTTGTCTGCTTTTACCATGTGGTCATCCAAAAGGGTGATGGGTATGTACCACCTCTTTAGCCTCTTTAGCCTCTTTAGCTCGTCAGAGTGAAGGTCACATTTCATAAAGCAAAAGCGCTGCTGAGTAAATGAAAATATAACTTGTCTGGTCTTGTTACTAATTCTAACTTTCACTACTAATTCAACTCATTTCCTTGATTATGTGGGAATGACTGAATACCTCCATTTTCTACATCTCTACAGGAAGTGGCGGCGGCGGTGGCAGGCGGGCGCGGCATCCCGTGCCTGTTGAAGCTGCGGTCGGGGGACCAGCCAGAGTGGCAGCCGAATCGGTGGCGGCCGGAGCATTGGCAGGAGCGGCGTTCGGGGCAAGCGAAGCGGGGGCGGCCGGAGCATTGGTAGGAGCGGCGATCGGGGCGGCGAGCGGAGCATTGGGAGTGGCAGTGGTGGCGGTGGCATTTGCCGTGCCGGCGGTGGTGACTGGAGTGATGTTGGCAGCTGGCAGACGCACCGTGTGTGACGGCAAGAGTATCAGTAAAGGTAAATATACCAAACCAAGTCAGAAATATTGTCCTAATTTCTATTATTGGAGCATTTTTTGGCCTAAAAAAGTTTAGGTTTCATTTAACAATTAAAGCTGCAGCAGCGTCGGTCGCGCCCTGAAAACGCGTAAATATGAGCACTTGTACAAGCCGTCATTGGCGGACTATGAGGACGCCGGACGGCCTCTGATTCATGGAGGGAGATCTCCACAAACGAGGGAACAAAGTCGTGGAGGAAAATACGGGACAAATGTGTCCGTGATGGAAAGCAGCAGTGTGGATGCACGGGGCAATAAAGTCTATGATCAATAAATAAAGCCACCAGCGACTTCCACACACAAAGACGTGACTCTGCAGGTCGTCTTCAACAAAACACGTGACTCACGTCACTTTAAGTGGTACTTCAGGCTGGTAGTACTTCAGGCTGGTAGTACTTCAGGCTGGTAGTACTTCAGGCTCGTAGTACTCTGGTGATAAGATACTAGTTCGCAGTGGTGACAAATAGCTTTGCTTTCAGCGAATATGTCGTCTGGTAGAGATTTAAGATGAAAATGTTCATTCACTACCTTTTTTTTTTGTAAAACATCTTTATGATTGCTGAATGATCAGGTTATCAGATTCACTCCTTGTTACCAAGGTAACAACCTGAACTGAGCCCAAAAGTCCTTCGTTCTCGAAATGAACTTTTGAATCCACAATGGGAGACAAAATACCAACAGCAGCCTCGCCAGGTGAGTGATGACACGTTTACAGCAGCTGCACCATAAAACTACACCAGCAGGTTCTACAACCGTCGGCCAAACTCTGACCTCTCATACGTCACACCTCACCGAAGCTTTGGCTGCGTTCATAGTTGATGGTTTGAATACATGTTTTAGTTTGTATCCAGTGCTGAGAAGAAGTTAATAGATGATTTGTCTGCTTTTACCATGTGGTCATCCAAAAGGGTGATGGGTATGTACCACCTCTTTAGCCTCTTTAGCCTCTTTAGCTCGTCAGAGTGAAGGTGGGTTCGGAAATGGCCTCCTTTAATAACTGATTCATCAAATAAACAAAGGAGTGCTGGAGACTTGATCGCAGCCCCAAAGCTTATCTTTGTTATCTCAGTGACCAATGAGAGCAGACTCCGCCCCTCTCACCTGATCCTGCAGGTACGTGATTTAGTGAATCGATAGCTAGAAACCGTCCATGATGATCACATTTCATAAAGCAAAAGCGCTGCTGAGTAAATGAAAATATAACTTGTCTGGTCTTGTTACTAATTCTAACTTTTACTACTAATTCAACTCATTTTCTTGATTATGTGGGAATGACTGAATACCTCCATTTTCTACATCTCTACAGGAAGTGGCGGCGGCGGTGGCGGGCGGGCGCGGCATCCCGTGCCTGTTGGAGCTGCGGTCGGGGCATCAGCCGGAGTGGCAGCCGGACTGGGGGCCGGAGCATTGGCAGGAGCGGCGGTCGGGGTGACGGCAGGAGCGGCGGCAATGGCAGCGGCGGTGCCAGTTGCCGTGCCGGCGGTGGTGGGAATTGGAGTGACGTTGGCAGCTGGCAGACGCACCGTGTGTGACGGCAAGAGTATCAGTAAAGGTAAATATACCAAACCAAGTCAGAAATATTGTCCTAATTTCTATTATTGGAGCATTTGTTGGCCTAAAAAAAGTTTAGGTTTCATTTAACAATTAAAGCTGCAGCAGCGTCGGTCGCGCCCTGAAAACGCGTAAATATGAGCGCTTGTACAAGCCGTCATTGGCGGACTATGAGGACGCCGGACGGCCTCTGATTCATGGAGGGAGATCTCCACAAACGAGGGAACAAAGTCGTGGAGGAAAATACGGGACAAATGTGTCCGTGATGGAAAGCAGCAGTGTGGATGCACGGGGCAATAAAGTCTATGATACATAAATAAAGCAACCAGCGACTTCCACACACAAAGACGTGACTCTGCAGGTCGTCTTCAACAAAACACGTGACTCACGTCACTTTAAGTGGTACTTCAGGCTGGTAGTACTTCCGGCTGGTAGTACTTTAGGCTGGTAGTACTTCAGGCTCGTAGTACTTCAGGCTGGTAGTACTTCAGGCTCGTAGTACTTCAGGCTGGTAGTACTTCAGGCTCGTAGTACTTCAGGCTCGTAGTACTCAAGGTCGTAGTAACTGGGGAGAGAATACTAGTCGGAGTGGTGGACAATAAGCTTTGCTTACAGCCGATATTTT